CAGAAAACTCATCTGTTTTGGGGACATGGGTTTATTGATGGTAGCTGATTGAAAAACAGCCTAATGAATAACTGTCAGACTTTTAAGTTTTTAAATAAAACACTGGATGCCCAAACAGATTTTAAAATAACCAACCAACTCCCTCAAAACACAAAAGGTGGCGGCTTTGAGCACTCTGCCAGCCTCCAGATACCGCAGGTGATTTCCCGAGGTGATTTCTGTCCATTGAGTGAGCCAGGGAGGACACATCTCGAGCCCCCTCCCGCCTACCCTGAGCAAGACCCTGTGACACGGTCCCCTACTAGCGCTGTTGGACACTGAAACAAACACGATCATAGCTCAAACCTGCAGCTCTACGAGGCTACTTGTAGAGGGAGAGAGGAATTGCCCACTTCACCCTGTCATTTACTAAGGTATTTTTAAAGACAGTTATCTAAAAAATAGATTCCAATTTTCAAGTGTAAGCTATTTTTAGAGAAGCACTGATAAGGCATACCTTTGTGACTAAACATTCAGAGAGTGTTGTAGCTCCCTATATGTGTAAAAATACACATGTAATTTTAAAGGTGTGTATGTGTGTCTCCTTTTGGTGGGTACATCTCCTTTTGGTGCATGTGATTTTTTCCCTCATCAATTTTTAAGATACCGTTTTTATCTAGAGCACAAAGCAAAGCTCATTGCTGGCAGAGAGAAAGCAACAGCAAGAGTAATGTTAAAGCAAAAACTAACAAAATCAAGCTATGCACTATGCTAGAATGAAGTAAATCTTGGTAATCTTTATAATTTCTGTTAAATAAGTATAAAATAACTGTAAATAAAGCTAAGAAAAAGCAGGGGTTTGCCACATAGAAGATGAACAAAACATTGCTAGGTTAATGCATAATAGAGAATATTTCATTTAGCTATTAAGAGAACACATATGAACAACCTAGGAAAACAAATTCTGATGAATTGGTAAACAGTACAACAAGACCACAAAAAAAAGTGGGGGAGCGGGCAATATTTAGTTTTGAAGTGAGAAATGAGCACTATTGCCATACGGATACTTAGAAGCTTGAGTTCCACAAGAGGACGTAGGCGGTGCTGCCTGGACACAAAGCAGAGTTTGACAGATCACACAGAAGAGGGAAAGCTGCATCTGAAGCAACCAAGAACATAAAGGGAAGAGCTTAAACAGAGTTTAGCTCTTGGCATATTCTTCCCTCTCCATGAGGAGGAGGGCAAAAAAGAGCTATTATCCACAGTGTGTTCATTTTCCAACATACCTTAAAAGATGCCACCCTGATCTACTTTAAAAGGTGCCCAAAATGATACAAAGGCTATGAATTTTCACCAAAAAACCCATTTTGAAACTGTAGTCTACGGTAAGAGGAAAATGCACAGAGACAGGAATCTGCACCCAAGCTAAGCAAGGGCTAAGAGAAGCAGTGCAGTCAAACATAACTCAGATAATAAAACTATCTGGAGAAGAGCAGTATATTAATACACTTATCACTCTAATTTTATAAGAGACAGACACCGTTTAGTTTCAAATTTCAACTTTATCTCAGTAGGGATTGCATAAGATAGGTTCCTCAGTATAATGACCGGTTTTATTAGTATATATTTTCTTATTACTACATTTTTCCTTAAAAGACAGAACTTCTTTCTATAAACACCCCTAGGGGAAAAAATATACAAAATGCATTAAAAATAATCAGATCAGCCGAAATAAAACTATATCTACTTGTTGCATACTCAGCAATAAAAAGCTTGCTTTCTTTCCATTATTGACAGAAAGATGCATGTATTTCTAATGTTTTCATTTGATCCTATTTCACTGAAGATGATTAAATGGCAAATGCTGTCTAAGCGTGTTGTGGGTTTCCTCTTACGTATGGCCCGAAACATTTCAGTTGATTACATGAAACATGTTTGGCAAGACTGAAAAAAATACTCCCCCCAAAGAGTCATTTTCCACACACCAATGCACTCCTTCCTACCACAGATGTATACTAAAGAATACTCAAAACTGCTCATTCACAAAATCATGCTGGAAAAGCATGAAGCTGTTTGGAAGAAATGCAATTTGCAAAGAGATATACCGTGTTTTAGCTGCTTCAAAGAGGTGGAATTTCTTAAAAAATGCAACCTAGAAATCTCAACATCAGCCAAAACAATATTCTCAGTTCTGAATTTAGTTTTAAAACCTTTCTTTTGATTTGCCATCACTCTTACCATACCTTTTAGTTTTGCTCTCTTCCTACTTCCCTTGAGCTCCATTGGTCCCATTCACCAGAAGGGGATGTTGCCTTCAACGTGCAGCTAGCAACTTTCCGAGCTCTGCTCTACGACTCCTTCTCCAGCTTGTTTTCCCATTCTTAGTTAATGGAAACCTTCCATGGTTTTTAAGACTGCTCCTGAAAATCTGCTATTTGAGTATTTGATCACAGTGCCATCATATTCAAGTGCCCCTAAGGGTAATTATATACACTTGACGTGTACTAAAATTCGGTAGGAACTCCTGATTAAGAGCTAGAATTAATGAGGATGAAATGTTCAGAAAAGAAAACATTCCTTCTCTTGTGGCACTTTGGATGTTTCTTTACAAGTCAGTGACTTCCAGCTGTCACAATGCTTATAGATGTGAGGCTTTTTTGCTGCTGTTGGTTTTTTTGTTGTTGTTTGTTTTACCTCCTCTCTCTCCCCCTAGTATCTTTCATAAAGGCTCTAAAAGCATTAGAGCATGTTTCGTTGCCAACATTTCATATCAGGAAACTGGGGACTTAAAAGTCTCAGCTTTAGGTCCCAGTTCTTGGGGACAACTATCCAAATTAGAACTACTAGAATAGTTTTTTTTTTTTTTTTTTTAAATGATTCTAGCACTCGGCTTTAAGTTCCACTGTGCCCAGAAGATAGTTATTTATTTGCTTTTCCCTTTCTTTTACTGTTTAGGAAAGCCACCAAGGAAGCAAACATTATATAAACTCAGCAGTAAAAAGTAACAGAATCAGACATAAGAAGCATTACTAAAAATCAAATAAATACTCCTAATTTGAAATTAGACAAAAAAAAAAGTACCAGAAGAAACATATACATATAAAATCATATATAATAAATGCAGGTTCAATATTATTTCATTCAAAACAAAAGAGTCAGTTCTAAATCACATCAGCTTTAAAAAAAAGCTACAGAAACGATTAATACACAGAGAAGTTTTGATTTCTTCATGGACTTTATCGAAGTGAGAGCACTGGGAAAAGGGGCTTTCAATTCATCTCCAGTACAAAAACATTTCCGCAGTTAAACAAACATTCAATGAACTTGTATTTAAATGAGTGTCCCCTCAAGTCACAAGACAACCCCCCATAGGTTTGTTTCACCTCTACTGCATGAGCAGTGAGATCAACTTAAGACCAGTTGGACCAGCTTGCATCAGTCACCTTCATATAAATCACTGATTTTTAAATAATTATTGAGTGGTAACTCTTTTTCAAGCTTTTTACTGTCATAAAAAGAGTGTTTTTTTTTCATAAGGAACCTTCAGTAGGATATAGCTCTGATTATACAATTTTTTCCACATACATATGTGTATTTTACTTCACTACCAACATTTGTTCCCTATTCATTCTTAGCACAACGGAAAGTTTGAGGAGCCAACCTTAAAATACAGAATCTGTGTTGATATTCAAGCAAAGAGCATCTAGTTTTAATGTTAATATGGATATAAACCAAAGGCAAGGCACGCAAGGGAACCATCCCCTTTCTCTCATTCTTGCAAAAACGTGTTGTCATCTAGTCTACTCTGATGACTGTGTTGTCAGTCTAGTGCTGAAGATTTCCTAAGATGAGTTTACAGAAAATAAAAAGATTTTATTTCCACATCACATAATGAAAGCATAATTGCTTTGAATCACAATTTCTTAAATTTGAACAGGACTCCTTCATTTGTTTCAGTGCCTAGCCAACAAAAAGCTGAGATACAGTTTGCTGAGCTTCCCCTCCAATGCTGTCATGAACAGCACTGTTTGCTCCTGCCGGGTAATCTTTTGGCATTGCCTGGCAGCATGTGAATTGCAGCACAAAACAAAACTTTCTAAATGCACAACAAAAAGCAGCACACGAGAATAATCTTTGCAAAATACAGGAACAGCAGACACATAAAATAAAACTCAGACCGTGAGAAAATAAATAAAACACAAACTTCAGTGACAGACAAAAGCTAACAAAGCACAGGGAAGATTGCAGCAGTCAAACTAGCACAGGGCTCAATTTATCTACTTGTTTTCTGCACATCAGGACATGGGAGATCTGCAAATATGTAGCTGTACTTAAAATCAAACATATTATACTGCTGTCTAGTCATGGCCCTCACAGACTATCTAAAAAAATAAAAATATAATGTTAATAAAAAATACCTATATTCTGTGAAGAGACTCCCTGATTTCCTTAGCTGAAGGAATAATTGCCACGATGCAGGATTTTGGAAATGACAGGAGAGGAAAGGGGGGAAAAAAAAATCTCTGCTGCTAAACAAGATTTTTACATATGTTTGCTATATTCACTTAAGGAAGTCTGAAGAATGGGTGTTCATAACAAGTGTGGGATATGTAAAAGAATACAAGAACACCAAACCCAGTAAGCAAGCAAGGTGAGGCAGAAGAACATTGCAAAAGCATAATAGCTTTAATGGGAAATAAGAACAATTTAACACAAATCCTGTTTTCAGTAAATTTAGTGGCATTTTCAAGCTAGAAGAAATTAAGGTAGAACTTCTGCTCCTCTAAATGTTTGAACCATCCACTTGGGGGGGGAAGAAAAAAGAAATCATCCCTCCACACATCATTCTCATACATCAAGCATCAGCCTCTTACTTGATACAAGAGACTTTTCCAATTTAAAGCTTAAAATCAGGATAGCTGGAAGGACATTGAGAGGATTTAGACCCCCCGCTTCAGAATCCACAGGGATATTTCATCTGCATGTTCCCAAATGCTGCTTTGGCTTACCTGATGCCGAGTTCATGATGTTCTGCTGCACCGGAGGGCTGGTGGGTGCCGTGACATTCATCTGGGAGAGCATGGCCTTCCGAGGGTCCTGCCAGGTTGTTGTCTGATCAATGTGACTAAGACAAAACAAAGCAGGGGTTAGGACAGGCATGGACCCACAACAGCGACCTGCTAGCACAGAGTTTAGCAACAAAAGGTTAAGCCAGCAAACAGGCACGCTCAAACCCAGGCGCAAGATCTTTCTGGATTTTTTCCAAGCATTACTGTAGGTCAGACGCTCAAACTCTCACTCCAGTCACCACAGCTGCACCGATTAGAGCTGGTCAGATAAGGGTTCACACGAATATCAGAATCCACGGTCTTGTGCCATAACTTTTATCTACGAATTAAACATTCTCTTCCTGTTTCTCTTTGGTTAGTTACTTGTCATTTTTCAACGCCACTTGCGAATTTTTCAGACCAAGCCAGTTACATCTGGAATGTCGAGCAGAGTCAGGCACCTTGGAGCGAGGTTTTGTACTCAACACTTCGTGTCACTTTTCTGGGCACACACCATGTGCTCGAGATGGGTCATCTGAGCAACTCCCCCCTCGCCACTCGCAACCCAGCAGCCTTTCTGAAGTGACTTAAGTCAACAGCCACACTAGAGCAATAACGAAAATAAAAAATTCTGCTGCCTTTCAGTTTAATGGGAAAAGATGAGGACCGTTGGATTGCTAAGTGTCTCAGCCCTCTGCAGAAACCAATGGCAAAACTTTTAGAGCTTGACCTTGCTTGAGAAGCTGGTAAACACATTCAGCATCATCATTCACAAAATTACTCAGGTCAACCAAAAAAATAAAATGTAATGAAAGATTACTATGCTTCGGAGTATGCACTTACGCTTTGCAAATAAGTAACACATGCAGGCTATTCCTCAACAAGTATCATAATATCAAAATTGCTCTGAAAAGTATATTCAGGCAAAAATAAAACTACACTAAGCTTTGACGGTAAAGCTTATTAATACAACTAGAATTGTCATAAGATAGGGTTGATATTCCAAAAGAGCTGTTATTCTTCAAAATAGCCACATCATTAACCTAGTCCCATTCTTTCATTATACTAGTCATTCTTAAAGTTACTTTATTTTTTTTTTTCCTGGATTACCTGGAATGTCATTTCCTTCAGCAAAACCTCAATTTATTTTATTTAATGCTGGAATATAAATTATACAGGTCAACTGAGTTCAAAAAAGAGGTATTCCAGTTCATACCTCTGCCTTCTACTTGTGTTGTACTTTGTGCCATGTATCCTGGTGGAGCAACAGGAATTCATACTGAAATATTCATCTCTCTGTAAATTTACTATCTTTGTACCTCAGATACTTAAAAAGGGCAGATAATTTAGACCTGGTCACATTCAGCACAGATGCTCTGGGGACATCAACATCTGACCTCGTCACCGCTGCCTGGAAGACCTACATAAGCTCTGCTAGGACGTAACCACCTGGCCAGGTTTGGGAACATATTCAAGCCTGAGGTGAACCAGGCTCCAGGAGTGTCTGATTTTTCCACTAACTATAAAGGGAATCTCAGGCAACTAGGTCAAGTACACTGCCATTAGCAGAGATGAATCCCAGGCTTTGCATACGTATATGCATGACTAGCGCAGCCAAGAGCCCTGGTCATAAATTAAGACCTCACCCTGGGCCCAACTGGACAAGCAAAACAGAAGGTTGTTTCCTCCCTGCCTCTATGCCTGGAAATTTTCTAAGGAAATTTTTGACTCTGATTAGTCAAAACATGCTCCAGTGCATTAGTGTTTTCTAATTTGTTCCTTGATGTTCAGAAAATTGACTTTTCAAAAATAAGAACTTCTGGACATGGTTCATTATTTCAAAGAAGTGAAAATGAGCAAGCACAACTTCAGAAGTCCATAAAATGGGGCATTGCTCAAACTAACTACTCATGAAGAATCATTAGAGGACTTTCTGTTATAAGATGGAAAGTATCATGAGTGGTATTAAAGATAAAGTTTTATTTTAACGCATGTGACTTTTTCACTCCATGGATTTTAACCTCTCCATACATGCATACAAACAACTCCAGGCCAAAAACTTACTGATGTACTCTGAAAGGTCTACAAAGTAGGTGAAAATAGCTTTTGTATGAATATATATATAAACATATATCAGTAAACAATTCTGTTTCTCCCCATGGCAAATATTGCCCATTTTCCCATGTAGAGGAACCCCCTTATTACTGTAGCATGAATTAAAATGGTGTCGCTGCCACGTCAGCTTCCATGGTGAAGCTCAGTGAATACAGGCAGCACAGAGCACACTTGCAGCTTTCATTGCAAACATTTTCCAACATTCAGCTCAATTGCAAAGCACCTATCAAGCGCAGCAAAACTTTATTTCCTTTTTAGCCTATTTATCAACATAAGAGGGTTCAATATAAAGACTAGCTCTATGCACTGGATTATGCACTTTCATACTATAAAATGCATTTTTTCCCCTTCTCCTGCTAGTCAGTTCTACAAAGCAATGAAAGCAGGTGCAGGTAGTACAGATGTGAGAACACTGCAGCACTGTAATGCTTCACAGGCTGTGTTTGAATTATAGTACCAGCATGTGCCACTCCTCCCCTGTATCTCCCATTTGTCAAGGGGCTTAACTCGGTGCTGGGAACAGTGGAAATGGTGGGAAAATACCACTTCATCCAGGATTACACATTTGTTTATTCCCATTAAACTCCTGATGGGAAATGTATATTGCATTTATCTTTACAAATGTGCCTATAAGGTAAGTTTTATTTATAGCTTTCATTTTTATTACTATTTAAATACTGAATAAAAAAGGAGAAAAGTTGTCTCACTGCATTATAGGATATTTGCAAAGTGAATTACTGGGACAAAACAAACAAATACAGCTATCTCCCAAAAACTGGAATATGAGATAGATGAAAGGACCCAGGAATAAGTAATTTCAGAAGTACAGCAAAGTTTGTGCCTGAGGGCAGCATTACTGATTCCTCAAATCTGCTACCACCGGTGGCGATTCCATCCAGCAGCTCCAGTCTTCCCTTGCTGAGCACCACGGGAGAAAAGCGCCCTTCTCCCCTCCGCAGAACTCCCAACCAGCAAGAGCCACCCAGGAAGCAAGTCTAGAGGAAGCTGATTACGCTGAAATCATACTAATCATAGGGTTGATTCAATATGAGGCAAGCCTGTCCTTTCTCTCTGGATCCTCTGCTTTCCGACCCACATTTCAGTTCCCTCCACATTCCTGAAAACCCTTTGCTTCCACCTCCTCCAAACTTCACTCCCTGCACAGACTGCTTTTCCTCATCTCCCTGCATGATGGTTTTTTGAAAGGGAAACAAAGACAATAAGACAGACATAACAAAACCCCAAAACACAAAACAATTTTTTACGATTTGAAGACATGCTAATCAACTTAAGGAATGCAAGCTATCATTTATATATGGATTTTTTTATAATAAATTATAGCACTAAGCTAATGAACACAGCTCTTAATTTTATTCAGTATCTGCAGCACTTGCAGCAGGGTAACTCATTTATATGTTGCAAGAAATATGTATTTCTCATTATCTATGTAAATATTGAAATTATAATTAAATTCTACCTGCCTGTGAAGTGGAACCACAGCTTTGCATTGCAGCTCTCCAAGCACATTTTTTTGGTATTAATGCAATGTACCACATGCCAGAAAGTTTGTCAAATTAAATTTCTGAACAAATTTAAATAGGAAACAAAAAGAAACCTATGCCAAACCCGGCACCATTCCTACAATCTGTGAACTTATGTATCTTCATACTAGGCATGACATGAACTATAACATTGGATGCCACATCAGCCTCATAACTAACATAAAAGGATGCTCAAAAAATTACTTAAATCCCTCAAGAGAGACCTTAGGAGGTACATACATGGCTAAGGTATGCAACCAAACGGGCAACTATGAGCATTATTTAAGGGTCCTTCAGCTTTGCTACTGGGTAGTATCGCAACTATCATGTTCCAGGTTGCGAACACTCTTCTCAAACTATGTTGAGGACTTCACTGACTCGGTGCAATTCCTGCCTATTAGAGAAGTGGGCTTCTTTCTTCCTTTCTTTTGCCCTACATAGCATAAAAGCATTTTATATACAATGCTCACAAAAGCACTCTTGGTGTGAGCCTCATGCAGAAGTTCAGTTCAATGGTTTGGATTGAGAACACTCCTTTCATGAGGAAGAGACTTATCCGAAAAGACAAACTATTACTAACATGATTGGGTTGGAATTTGTCAAATCATTACACCAAAACGTGCAACAGAAATGTATCTCTAGGAAAAGCAGAAAAAAAAAAGGCGCAAAGAATATCTTAGTTTTAGGTATTAGATGAACATATGAAATCTCTGCAGTAACAAAAACAGAAGTGGTCTGTATGATCTAAGCATAAAAGAAGACAACGCAAACAATCACTTCTCATTTTTCGCTGTTGTTTGGACATTACTCTGCATAAAAGAACGTCACAGAACAAATACGGCACAAACTTTCAGAAAACTGCAGGAAGAAAAATGTATTTATTTATTTATTTATTTATTTTTATTTATTTATTTTTTACAAACAACATCTAGATTTTGGGGCTAGATTTAAGACTTCACTAGAAATCTTTAAATATATATATATATATATATATAGCTATTACTAAAAACAAAGCACAAATACACATCAAACACTGCGGCAGACCAAGTGCAGCATCATTTTTATGGGTTGGGGAGAGAGGGGAAAGCCTTTATGCAACAAAAGCAAGTGCACAAATGAAGTTAAACCTTACTCTTTTTGACACTTGATGTGAAATTTCAACTTCTCATGGAACCCCAAATATAAATCTATGTGAATCTATAGTACAATACTACCCTAAACAGCTGAGCTGCAGATGCTATTTTTTCATATATTTTTCCCTGTCTTATGTTGCTGTTTTCCTCAATTTACATATTGTATAATAATCTGGAAAGTTTTTCTCATCTATTTCTTTTTACCCAACCTTGCAGCCTAGACAACTCATGACCGGTGTGTCTCATAACTGCTATTACTGAATTACATTGGAGCTCTCACCAGTATGTTCTTCTCCATCAGGACTGAATATATTTACATGGAA